TTTTTTTTTTGTTAAATAGTTATATACTCATTGGAAACTTATTTTCTGAGATCATTAAGAATAAAAATTTTTGACACAATTACTTACATTTATTGAGAACTTCATTGATATTCAGTTCAAGTACAATGCCTTTTGCTGTTTATAGTAAAAGTTGTGTGGGTTTTGTTGTTTTCGTTTTATTTGTTGTTATTTTTCTTTTCTCAGCAAATTTATGTTGCTTTTAGTGCTCGTTTAAGTACACAACAAGCCCTTTGCTTTCATTCACTTTTCTTAACTCGACGAGATAGATTTTCCTTTTGCTTAGCGCAATGGGGCTATTCAAATCTTTTTGCAATTTATCTTTCTTTCTGTTTATTTGCTTTTGTGCAAATATTGATATAGGGTGTATAGAAGAACTTAGTGTATTTTTTTTTTTTTTAAGTAACTTTTGCCACAAATCAGTTCATCAATATTTGTTTAATCGAGAGCAACACTCAGATCGGTTGATCGTTATAATTGTTGTTGCTGTTGCTTTTGTTGGCGCGACGAGGAATGCTGCGCGATCTGCTTTGAATGAGAAATCAATTCAATTTAGTTTCATTTAGCGACATACATATATATTTTCACTTCACCGAANCTTTGAATGAGAAATCAATTCAATTTAGTTTCATTTAGCGACATACATATTTTCACTTCACCGAGCGCATATTCCTTTACTTTTTATCGGTGCTTTATTTTATCTTTTTGTTTTACGTATAATTTCTTTGAATGGCGCGCCATGTCTGGCGCTATGTCGCACAAAATTTGCAAAAAAAAAGAAAATAAATTCTATACATATATATGTACATATATGTACATATATATATGTATATACATATGCGAATGAACGGCGTTTTATTACGGTAGCGATCGCCACTCAGTCGCTGGGTTCAATTTATTTGAATTTCAAGCAAAGGTGCCCTTTTTACGCATTTCTATAAGAATTTCTTTTTTCTTAACTTTTGTTTTATGGCTTTCTTTTTATGATAATTATACATACGGCATATTTAACCTCAATATTCAATAACAGCACTGTTTAAAAATGATTGAACTGAGTTTTAAAAAATCGCCGAACTTTAGAAATTGTTTTCTTTCATTACTATATTTTTAACAAAACACTTGTCTAAAGCAGGGATCACACGATTTGTACATTTGTACAGCTTTGTACATTTTCACAGTTACAAACAGGTGTTGTTTAGAAGGTTGTTATTGAGCTGAACTCATTCTCGACAAAAACTTCTAGACAACACCACTCTGTGGCTGCCAAATGTGCAAATGTACAAATCGTGTGATGCCTGCTTAAATCGACATATTACAGCGCTTGCTTTTTTTAAACAGCAGTAATATTTATAAAAATTATACTTTTGAAATTTGTATGATTTTTTGCGAAACTCTGTGTGGATTGCTTTGCTCTCGGTGACGTAAAAATGCTTAATTTGGATACTGTTAATCGGCGACATTAATATTTTCTCCTAACAAGTGTCTGGTACGAATATGTATATGACTACAGTGAATTTAAAACAATTAATTCTGCTACATACGCGTACCACTAGATGGACACTGTTCTGAACTACCGAGCAAGTGTTGCCTGAGTGGGGTAAAGCGCCGACGTTGAGGAAAACAAACAAAAACACAATCCTCAGGCAGGAGTGTTATATCCCCTTTGATGTGGTCATTTGTGATCAAAAAAAAAAAATTAAGTGCTTATACTAATGATCTGGCCATTCGTAACTCTGTTAGATGCCGATGAGTGAAATTCTCTAGCGGACATTGAAAGATACATATTCATAATAGCATCAAAAATCCAGAAAATACAGGCTTTTAGAGTTTTACGATAAACTATAATACTTCATTCCGGTCCCTATCCAAGCTGGGAAAGTACTATAACTCCTAAAAGCATTTAGCAAATATATAGGAGTACAGTAAATTGAGAAGGCTTGCAGAAAAGTGGTCGGTAAGGCATGGAGAGTATCCCATTGACATACGCATTGAACCTATTTATCAGATATAAGACCAATAACGTCTTCAAATCACATATGTGCACTTTAAATTATTTGAATTTGCAAGAAGTAGCGACAGTTTGTGGCTATTTCTGGTACTTATGTTACTCCCTGCGTGCTATTGAGCTTCCAAAAATGTTAACAAATATGTATATAAAAAACTATANGTGCAAATGTACAAATCGTGTGATGCCTGCTTAAATCGACATATTACAGCACTTACTTTTTTTAAACAGCAGTAATATTTATATAAATTATACTTTTGAAATTTGTATGATTTTTTGCGAAACTCTGTGTGTCTGGTACGAATATGTATATGACTACGGTGAATTTAAAACAATTAATTCTGCTACATACGCGTACCACTAGATGGCCACTGTTCTGAACTACTGAGAAAAGTGGTCGGTAAGGCATGGAGAGTATCCCATTGGCATACGCATTGAACCTATTTATCAGATATAAGACTAATAACGGCTTCAAATCACATATGTGCACCTTAAATTATTTGAATTTGCAAGAAGTAGCGACAATTTGTGGCCATTTCTGGTACTTATGTTACTCCCTGCGTGCTATTGAGCTTCCAAAAATGTTAACAAATATGTATATAAAAAACTATAGGAAAAAATTAACCTTCTACCGCATACGACGCCATATATCTGTGGTCATAAGCTATAACCACCTAAGGCGACTTAAGACTACTATCCATGTGTATGTTAAATCCCCATCTCGCCAGCGGAACGACATATTTAAAAAGTTATAGACGAACATATTTTGATTTAAAACGTTTTTTCTCGAATTCAGGTTTTTCAACTT